ATTCTCGCTTAAATACCCTACTATTTTGACGGCTGTGCAATTTTAAGAACAGTTTCTGACCTTTGATTGCATTGTGTGCCCTTTTAACTCGATCACGACTGTGATTGCAATTTAGTTCAAAGATACATTCAGGCTTCGAAATTCACGGATTGTGGAGTTCAAATAGCAATTGGGAAAAAGCGGAAAAAATCAGCCCGAAATACCTCATATAGGACCCCATGCTGAACCGTGCTTAAACGTGCACAAGGTGAAGGAAGAGCGTGGTTGGACGAGTTCTCACACTGAGAAAGTTATGAGAAAGATTAATCCTCTCCGTTCTATAAATCGCCATAAGTGTTGCGTGTTTCTTTGCACTTTCTCCCACCCCCGTTTTCAGGTAATTGAAGTGAATGGACCACAACACGCGGTAGAAAACTGGCTTACGTTGCATCGCGACCAGGGAACTACTATTCACGGCGTGCTACATGAATCCGCTGTTTTCGTATCTGAATCGTCAGTTTTCCAAAAAGAAAAACCCGAAATATTTTGAAAGTTCAACGCCCGTGCTGTTTGTCGACATCTTTATTATTACATGACAAGCGGTAATGTGCACGAAAGAGAAAGAAATAAAAAAACAAAATATTTTGAAACGCCGCCTAATCGGAATCCAAGCTAACATCATGAAAATGCTCTTCTGTAGGAATTGAAAAACACACGTATATCTGAATGGAATAAGAACAGCCAGAAAGGCATGAAAACAGCAGTTGATTGAATCTTTCCTTATCACCTCTCATTTTCTTGGCAATACTCCCGAATATCACCCCTGACGCAACTAACAATATACTTGATGGTTTTCTTAGTTGTCCATAGCAATGATACTCGTGCAATAGTCCTTAATCGGCTGATACATCCGTGACGCAAATAAAAACGATGTGGCTGGAAATACGCCCCACGGGCCAGCTCGTCGATTTTCTCACGGGCCTGACAACTGGGAAGTGGTCCCCCTAATAGCTTGCAGAACAAGGATGTGGACGGATATAGCGGAACTCTCCCGTCCCGCAAGATGTTATTTATAAGTAGGAAGGGCGCCGTCGCGCTCCACTCGCTGACGCCGCGACGCGACCGCGACGCGCGCGCACGGCGGCCCCTTCCTACTTTTACACATAACTATCGCCAGCCCTAGCACACCGCTGGTCACGAAACCAACTGAAGTTCCATGCTACACAAGCGGAACAAGTGATGACTCTCTTGTGGCGCAGGCGTCAGGGGTTTTCAGACCTGATTGATATGCTGGGTGTTAGGTCAAAACTACCCTTGAAGCATAGTTTTCAACGACTTCGTGGTTTAAGCCACCGGCATCTGTGGTCGCGCTCCAGGTGCTTGCGAGCCGGACCTGAAGATCAGTATCTGGTTAGCGAGGTGAAATAACCTATTTAGTTACAGACAATTTATTCTGTCAAGGTTGTCTTCCAGCGAGAAAAAGGTCGTCAGAAAAACTGCCTGATTTGCGGATGATTAGGTGGAGTGGACAGGGAACTAAGTGCCAGATCGCTCTTGATATTAATTTCTTGCTGGGTCGAAACTTACGGGTGTTACTTATCTCCTGTTTTGTTCGGTAAAACCCATTCTTTTCCACTTTTCATTGTCTCCTCTTTGAAAGTATTTTTTTTTCTGAAGAAGGCACTCTCAATGTTCAATGTATTTTGCTACTGTTGTAGCTAGAGCTGTCAAATATGGACCTCACCAACGAGCTGTCGTCCCTTGGATCACTTCTTGAACACGAAAGGAAGTTGATTGAAGAGAAAGTTCGTTTCTTTTGAACAGTTATTTTTAAAAAGAGTCTACTTGTTCTGAGTTTCAAATTGAGCTTTGTGATAATAGCGTTCCTGTTGCACATGATTCCATTATTAGCGAAAAAATAAGCAGACATAATGATTTTATAAGAACATGCAGAAGACAATGCAGTCGTCTTCTAACTAGAAATCAATCTTCAGAACTCGATTATCACCTCTAAAGATCAAGAACTGTTCTCACTACGTGAGGAACTGGAGCGATCGCACATAGAAGTTGAGAAGCTGAAAGGCCAATGCGATTCAAGAGCAACTGAATCCGAATCATTGGCAAAGCAGTTGTTAGCTCTGCAAGAAAACTCGAAAGAATTGATGGATAGGGTAAGCGAATTTGATCAATTATACTTTCGAAAAAGCTTTAGCAGTGCGAAATAAGGTATCTTCTTTATTCCCTCATGGTCGATTTCAGATCGCGCAAGGCGAGGGTGGGTCGAAAACTGCTATCGAGCAGTTGAAAACAGAAAATCAAAATCTCAAAGAGGAAATCAGCCAACTTACTGTGTCGTTCAAGGAAGAAGTTGGTTTCCACTTCAGTTTTTTTTTCCTTTAATGTGTTAGTCTTCAATTCCGACAGCTGTGTTGTTCTTTTTGAACTGATATTATTCTTCATCGTTGAGACTGCTTGAACTTCCTCATGTCATGCATTTTCCTAATTTCTAAATACAAAATGTATCCCTTTTAAGAAGGAAGGACTGGTGGCGAAAGCCAACGAGCAGGAGAAGCTCTATCGTGAAGAAAGGAAAAATACAGCCGAAAATCTGAAGAAGGTTGAGCATCAGAGGGAAGCCCTCGAACGACGTCTAAGGGAAGCTGAAGACGACGTCAATCGCAAGGTGGGAACACTAGTTTTCTAGTGAGGATCCTCTGAAAGTCATGCAATTATTATTTTTTTTTTCGTAAACGCGACTAGCCAGACAAGAGAGGCGAGATCGAGAAGATCAGTGCATAGTAAATGTTATGTTAGGTGTCTCGATGCTGTTATCTCCCCACGTCATTGGTTTGTGCGACACCTAGTGTAGACCTTTCTTGATGCACCCTTTTTTTATTAATTTATTTTGCTTCCGCTATTTTGCTCCTGCCTTTCAGTTTTCATTGATGCATTTTGTTTTTATTTCTTTGACCCTGTCGCGGCGAGATTCCTTGAGTTTCGTTCACCCCCACTATGCTGACCTTAAGACGCAGTTCATAAAGTCGTAAATCATGGGATTTGAAAAAGCTTTGTTGTAACAACATCACCAAAATATGACTCCTTAGGTTTTGCGCACTGCATTAGCATACGCGAAGAGTCCAGGTGTTAGGACACGTTCCCGCTTTTGGTATCATAATAAGGGTAAGACGTGCGCTCGAGATCTCCAGCGCAGTGGAGGGTCGTATCTGGTCGCTGGAGGAGGTAAAGGGACGTATTTGCTCTCGAAATCAACGTTTGAGAACAACGTTCCGACTTTTCTCGGTTTTCCCGTACTCTTGTTACCCCCACTGAGTGGCATTTTTTCGGGGGAAACTAGAATATCATAGAGGAAATTCCGAAGTGGTAGGAATGTGGAGGAGCTTAGGAAGATGGTGGGTGGGATGGGGTCAGAGGGGGGCTTTCCGATGGAGAGTCATATTTTGCAAAAATTCTCCCCGAAAGTGACGTGCTTTTTCCTAGCACGTCATTTTTATCTCAGGGCCCTTATCTTTTCCTGTGATATCGCTGTCAAGTTCCCATTAACACTACGGCACATGGACTACGTGTGTGACACTGAGCCTACGTCATAATTCCGTGGTAGGCGGCCACAGAAGGCGCATCATCAGTGGCTGGGTTATGAACCTCGCGAACGGTGACTTCGATATGGCTATTTGCGAAATGTGGCTTTGCCTTCTAGCTGTTGTCATTATATGAATTTTTTTTTGTCAGGCGGAGCGATTTGTTGAAATGGAGAAGGAGATTGAAGATGATCGACGGATAGCAAACGAGAGAATCAATAAGCTGAAAGAAATCATTCGAGTAAAAGAAGAAAAGGCCTCAGAAGCTCGTAAACAATTGGAAGAGGTAATCTACTTATACTCTTAACATTATAAAGTTATGGAACGCAGCATTTATTTTCCCCTCCAGCTTTCGTGCCGCTCAGTTTTGACTCGTTTCAATTGTACTTCAGTTATCCTCCCAGCTGACTGATAAGAACCGTCTTCTTCGCGAAAAAGAGCATCAAATTGAAGAGAGCCGTCGGAAAATAGAAGAATCAGTCAATCACATAGCAGAGGCTGAAGCGAAAGCTAGACAACTGGTATCATATTTTGCGGCATTTTTCAGTGTTTCAATGTGATTTCTTGCTTCTTATGCTTATTTCAGGAGGCGGAGCTCTCACAGAGTGAGGCTCAGCGACTGGCAGTGACCGATTCTGAATCCGATTTGCGTTCCCAGCTCAGTGATAATGAGACACTTCTAGCTTCATTCAAAAAAGAAGTAGAAAAGGTGGCTTTTTTTTCGTTTTACAACACAGGAACGGCATTTGGTTATTATATGGCAGCACTTTTCATTAGAAGTAGCAGCTTCGGGTTATTTGGCTAACTCAAGCTTTGATTAACACTTATTGTCATTCTGTTGTTCATGGTAGTAAATTACCGTGTTGAAGGTATTCTTGCAGCTAACAGCCGACTTATCTTCAAAAGAGCAAGCCCTGCGAGATGCAGCCAGTGAGGCTAGTGAGAAAGAGGAACACTGGAGAAGAAAACGCGAAGAATTCGAGCAGCAGTTGGAAAGGAATCAAGAACATAACGAAGAACTGCTATCTACCACCAAGCAGTTACAAATTTCATTGGATCAGGAGAAGACCGAGAACGCTTCTCTCCAGGTCTTTTTTTTACTGTGGAACTCCTACTAGGATCACTCCTAGACTTTCTTCCACTTAATCCCTATTCAGGCGAAAAATGGGACATTGGACCACTCACTGAGTGATGCACTGCAACGAGTTTCTGCACTTGAGACTGAGTTGGAAGAATCTCGTAAAACGGAGGAAAATTTGACGCAAATCTCGGTAACTTTGGTGAGCTGCAAAATTCTTAAAACACTTCTGAAACAAATTACTCTCGAATAGAACTCATGGAAACGTGATGGTGTAGTAGGCAGAGAACGTTGTACGCTGGGGATCCCCGACGAGTTTGGTCGTGTTTGGCCGCTGGAGTGGAGGGAGGGGGGTGGTCATATTTGCTTTGAAAACAATGTTTTAGGTTGTTGACTTTTCTTTGTTTTCCTATGGCAGTGCTATATATCCTCGCTCGACGGCAGTTTCTTGAGGGAGAAAAGAAAGAATTTTTGGGAAATTGGAAGAAAAAGGTAGGAAGTTGGGGAAACGCACCAAAATAGGGATCTCAGGAACTACAAGGAGGAGGAGGGGGTTGTATTTTACGAAACTATCCCCCAATGTCAGGACGTGCCGTAGTAGTAGCACTTGCGAACTTTTATCGTGTGCGCAGTCGGGGATCATACCAACTTTGCGTGGGTCTTGGGGCAGCCGATCTTTGTTTCCCTCCAATTTTGGTTGGTCCCGCACTCGTCTGAGAGGATAAGAATACGGCATAAGTCGTTCTCGCAGATCGCTGTTTGGCCCAGTGCCATCCAGAAATAGATTTCCCATTCTGAGCAATATTTTGAGCTGTGGTATTCCAGAAGGCCTCAGCTGGTTGAGGAACAAAGTCGGCATGAAGCATCTCAGAAGAAGTACGAGAATGAGGTTGTTTTGTTGAAGGTGAGGCTCCCTCTCTAAAGCCTGTAATTATACATGAGGAGTTTGCATTTAGTAGATTTTGAATGACCGGGTTTGATGTGTTTCCCAAGGCCCATTGATTTTTTATTTGTTTATTCACGCATGCTCTGACGCAGTGTCAGAAGCAACCGGATGAGTTACATTGTTTTCCCATCCTCTCGAAGTTTCTGAAGGCGATTCCCATGAACATTCAAATAAGAGTTTTTCAGTCAGCAGAAAGTGCTCTGGCTGATGTCAAAATGGAACTGGAATCTCTACAGAAGACATCTGAGGATAGACAGGCAGAGTTGGAGTCGTTAGTGCAGCAGTTGGAGGCAGAGAAGGCGACACTGGTCTCTGATAGTGAAACTAAGGACCGAGTCAGTTTTTATCAGTCCTTTGTGACCACCAAAATGTAATTTCAATTTTTTTTCAAGGAAATCCGTCGGTTGGAGAGCTCAAATGAACGATTGCAAGGCGACCTGAACAGCAAATCAATGGAGCTTGAGCAATTTCACGAACGTATGGTGAGCTAGCCGTCCATTTGTGAATCATTTCCGGCATTTATCTCCTGCGGCACTGAATTCGTTTTTAATTTGCTGATCGCTTGTATGTTGGGTTTGATTTTATATTCACTGGTTCTTATGAAATAATGTCAGGCAAAGTTTGAATCCGAAATTGCGGATGAGCGTCGTAAACTGGAAACGTTGGAACAGGAGCGTCAGGGAGTAGTTGAAGAATGTGCGTTGCTACGGGTTGAGAAAACGGAAGCCTTGAAGGTCAGTTAGAACATCTCTCGTTCTCTTTAATTGTTTATCAAGAGAATTATCGTTGAAATACGATATCTTAACTGTTTGAATACTGTAAGCGATTCTCCTGAAATCCTACACTATATTCCCTCCCAAAGGGGGGGGGGGGGGGATAAATATCCCCAAACCACCTTCCGATGTCTACCTTCACCTCTACTGATGTCTCTCGCTCTCTCTGACTCTCGTGGGTTTGCACCATACTCTTGGCGCCCGCTTTAAGCGATGTAGCACGGTGTATAATCGATAGCCGAGTTGGGGAACAGATGGGAATCAGAGATGCGGAAAGACTAGAAGCGAGTAGACGGACGTTACAGGTGGATTTATTGCCAGAGAGCGGGGGATTATCGGGGACATTTCCCTTCGCGACATCGTATAGCATGCGGCTCCCTGGTAAGCCTCACCCATTTCTTATCCTTTCTCAATGTTTTGCTGTTTGTGCTAGGAATGAGATCGACAGGCGCCCTTATTGTTTATGTTAGTCAGTTACACAACTACATTACGAAGAAGTGGTTCGACCGTTATGTTTAGAGGGTATATATGAAGACAGCTTCGTTTAGAGATCCCCTGTCACAGCTTACGACTATGCCTCCCAACACTTCCACCTTCTTTAACAATTGAACAAGAATTTTTTGACTTACTTTCCCAGGGACCGAATACGACCACTTATCCTGATGGGGCTCAGTCAACGATGATGTGCGCTGGTTATCGGCATACGTTCCGAGTGCACCATACATTGACCAGATTTTTCTGTAGTTAGTCGCCTGTAGTATAGTACCTCTCTCATTGAGTGATAGTGTTGACGGATGCACTGCTAGTTCTGGCTCAGCAGCAGGTGCTGGTGTCTTGGTGCGAGACAGAAGATCCACGTTACAGCAACATGACCGAAGCGGTGCTGTAGGTGATCGCGGGCAGCATTTGCACCAGGAAATTATCGCTTCTATGTGAAAAATCTAGTATGTCAACTTTGTAGGCTAGGGAACACTAGTTGAGCTCCGGCCGCGTCGTGTGACTCTCCTGACCCGCACCTGCCGAATGGGAAAGGGAGCTTATAATATTAGGTTGGCGGGAAAGTTCTGTCACTCTTTTCCGAACTCAAATTACTTGCCCATTACCAAGAGTGGTAACCGGTAATGTAAGCTCTTATACAACAAGGAGTGGTCTCTCTGTTACCACTCGCTTGCCTCTTGCTCCTTCTTCTGCAATATGCACAAGGATTTTATCCGCTACCATCAGCCCCGACCCATCCAACAACTTCCACAAACTATTTCACCCACCACCCTGACGCCAGCGTGTTAGCTGCAGATGCCAAATTGATGGAGCTGAATAAGCACGATGCCCCCAATCATCGAGCAACCTTACCACGACAGTGACGCTTCAAGGCGGGAGCCTAGGGAGCCTACAGTTTTGATGACGAAGTGAGGTTTGGGTTACCTGCAACTCAGCTTGAGGGAGCTATGGGTCGGGAAACTGCTGGATGAAGAAGCTGCTTCCTTGGTCAAGGCGTACGCAAAGCAGCTACGAGATCTAAGGCGTATCGTGGATCAGAGGGAAAAATTTGTCCGCACAGCCGGCCCTCACCAAGATAGTGCAACGCACTTGGTCCAAAAAAGTTCGAGCCGTACCTCATGCAATGGAGCTTGATCTCTCTCCCCTTGCACTTGTGTAGCACAGACATCGCCCCTTCTAATAGCAAGTTGCCTTCCGTAATCGATCGTTATGCGGACGAGAAAACCTCCATAACCCAAGTTCAAGTCGAGGTTGAGATGGTGTCCAACTTTGTCTCCCTGCATAGTGAAGCAATGGC